CGAAGTGGTGCGTGTAATGTTATCTATTGAATCAATTATAGCCATATAAAATCGCATGTCGTCGTTCCATTCATTTTCATATGATGGCGGTGACAATGACTACACGACCACGACCACAACACAAAGCGAACAAAACATATCCATTGGAGCAAAACAATAACGAATCTTCAGCACATCATTGAGGGAGTAATGTTAGAGTGGATGTGAAGACATCGAAGGTTAAATTGATTCGTGTTTGACAGCTATCTTAATGCTCATAACATACAGCAAAACAACTGTCACGTCCGGAAATCCCACAATGACCGGTGTCGCTTCACATATTCAGACGGGCAATATTGGTTTAATAGGTGCTTCCGTTATGTGAAATAAGTTTGGGAGATATATATAGAGGATCTCTATATTAGAGAGAAAAGAATAAAGTACACACACACACACACACACACACACTGTCTGTGTGCTATTTCAATTTCAAAAACAGCAGCCAACAACCGACACCGTTTGGTCGTAGCAAAAAAGCACATGGTTGCTGAGTCACAATTTACGAAACGGTAGAATTTTCGGTGGTTGGCGACAACAATTGCTTTAGAACACTCGGAAGAATGCAATTCAATTTTAATGCTTCATTCTTCTTCATTCGCAGACACACACACACACACACTATCTCGTAAACCAGTTCGAATCAAAGACCAGTCTTGCCCAATCACACAATTGATTATGTTGCGCTTATCATATTTGCTAATGGGCATTTATCCAAATTTAAACGAAAGCAATGCACCATTAATTTACCTGTTACATTTTTGACAGAAAGCGAATCATTTTAAATGTTGAGAGTGCGCGCGCGAGAGTGCCAAAGCCAAACACCCAGTCTCATCATAGTCATCATGCTCTCTCTCTCTCTCTATCTTCTTTATCTGGCTGTGTCTCTTTTGTACGAGCGCTCGCTCACGCACGCATCTCCCATATTAAATTCGAAACAAGAAATTCCGTTTGTACACTCGACAATCATACGCTTCGTTTGCTAATCTGATAAGTAACACAGGCAAAATGGAATTAAAATACAATGTCATGTCATGGGACTTGTGTCCGTTGTCTCTCAGGTGGCAAGCAAGAAAACGCACGGAAAACGAATATTAAATCCAATGTGGGAACAGACAGTGATACGTTGAGAGAAAGAAAAGCAGACGCCAAAATTTATGAGATATGGTTGATTGTTCGAATAAAACGGCCCGTTCAAAACACATGAGTTGAATGCGTGAAGAAAAGATGGAAACAGCACACAAACATACAAACGAACGAAAAATGAAGGGAAAAAAAGACGTCGGAAGGAAGAATGGTTCGTTTAATTATTTAGAGATGAGTGTGGAGGAGACAGATAGAGAATGAGACTCTGGGTATAGGTAGTCTTTTCACCACTCAGTTTGCCTTTTTGGTTGAATTTCCTCCCTCTCTCTTTCTGCCTCTATCTCGCTCTGAATAGTATACAGTTGGCCAGCTGCAACAGCGTCAAACGACATGAAGTAAAAATAAAAAAGTTCAATTCCGAACCATGGAAAAACGTGTCCAGAACATAAATGCATGAGATAAATATGAAAAAATAAAGGTGTGCGCGAGCGCGTGTACGGCTCAGTCAGGTCAGTTGAACTAATGCAATACAAATTCATGAGGTACACACATACATACATACGGCATGAATATGAAAAGAATAAATATGGAAAACCAGCAACGATTTAACGAGATAACAAGAAATTGGACGGTATAATATGGTCGTCGAATCGAAACATCACTGTAGTGTGTACTCAAGTAATTTAGCTTAATTAAGTTTCACTGCTGCCTTTTTTCTCTTTTACTCTCCCCGCGCTACTCCCACCCATTGTGCTCGTGTCATACGTTTGTTCATCATCATCGTCATCATCATAATCTGCCTGCCGAATGACAAATTGAAATGAAGGATACTAATTTTACCTGGACACACTTTTTCCGCTTTCGGAGCGCCATGAACGCTCTCATATATTTTCATATCAGTTCGCTTTTGTATGTGTGTATGTGTTTCGGTCGTATCTCACTCATGGCAATTGTGTTAATTACCGTTTGGCCTTACCTCAATATGACACACTTAAAATATGGAAAAGTGTCCAGATTATCCGGAAAAGGATACGGAAACTATATGTATATTTCGCACGAGCACAGAAAAAAAAATTGATTTCGTTTCATAAACGTGCATCGTATCGGTCGCTCAATTGTGATCACCGATCATAACATGCTTTTTTCTTGTGTATGAGCTGAAATCACAGCATAAATCCACTCGATTACTCTCACACTTTTCTCACTCAAGGCAACTCAATGTGACCATAGTTCAATGGGAGAGACAGAAAAAACTTGTTGCTCCCTGATTACATGTGCTGTGTGTCTGCTATTCCCAAAAATTCTCCTAATTTTTGTTTTCCTTCGGTTCGTTCGTTGTCACAACAACAATGCAAAAGAAGAATGTTTTTCCTTCGTAAATTATTTTCGGCGGAATTCTCAGTCTTAAAATGATCCGTATAGATGAAATTTCCTCGTGTAGACAAAAATGTCCGCTCTTACGAATTATTCACATCTCATTTGTTTACTAAGGAAACAGACATCATAATTAGTCGCGAAAAAGTGTCAATCGAAATTCTTCCTTCATGTTTCTTTTTCATTTCGAGTTTCATTCGATCCCCATTTTTTTCATTCGTCTGTCGTTTGCATACACATTCATTCCATTCGACACACGGTGTTGGTATGAGTGTTCAAATGAAATGCTTGTCCTCTGACCATTCGGTCTTCCATGTGATGCCATTTGACGAAAAACCATCCAAGTGATAGATTGAGTGTTTGAGTATGTGTATTCAAGGGAGAAATACATCGATGAGATACACCACAAGAGGCACCGAGCATGAGAGACGCAGAGAGACGACTGAAACGACCGAAATGAATGTCGCGTCTGCCGATGTCAAATCGCTCAACATAAATGAAGATAAGCTATATCCCAAAAATAAATATCCACCGTTTGGATATGGATATGAAAGCAAACAACAGTCGGACGCCGTTATAAATTAATAGCAAACAATCTATCTCTCTCGATTTTTGCGTCTCTTTTCATCTCTCCCTTTGTGAAACGATTGAAATGAAGTCAACTGTCGGCCAGATTTTTGATAGAATCCAATTTATTAATCGGTTTTCATCAGAATAAGATGCACAGAGAGCGGAGATAAAAATAAAAATAAAAATGATGGCCTTCATTGTGATATCGCGCGTATCATTTGCTCATTTAAATGTAATCAATTCATTGGAATTTATTTTCATGGAATTTCCATGAATGAGTGTGTGTGTATGCATATACAATTGCGGACTAAATCGCATCCAGTGTACGGTAATTGTTGCCATTGATTACATTTGCCACGGGGTTCTTTTGTACCGTTTTAATGATGTGTTATTAAGTTACGACCAGAATGAGGAAATAGGGTAGTGAGTAGCATATGGGGGAGAGAGATGGAGAGCAAGATTGTCAAAATGTCGTCGTCAAATTATTGTGCTTCCCCACACTCAATGTCGACATGTTCCTACAACATCTAATTGATACAATTTTGTGCGTTATTACGCAAGCTTTTATCGATAATTGCCAACACGAATCCTAAATTATTTATTGTTACTTTTCCAGTCGTGAAACATTGATGGAGTCAGTCTTGATGCTACCGATAATCAGTGTCTGTATCAATGATCATTTATCTAAATTTTGGCTGGGTTGACATTTTTCGGCGCTTTGAAAACTGTGAGCGAGGAGGAAAGACCGATCAAACAAGCAAGAGTTGGATATGTTAGCTTGATCTCGGCGCATTTTTTGATATCGTGTTTAAACACATTTTTTCGTGTATATATATTCAAAATGTGCGTTTCTGCACGATTGACGTACATAAATTAGATTGAAAACACAACACAATGAAAGCGAATGATGTATGAACGCGTGCGATCGGGCCAAAACTGTCTACATAGGCAGCTCACATATATACATTATTCATCATTTAAATTAAAAAAAAGAAGAGGAAGAAGAAATATAATGTATGAAATTTTAATAAACCGTTACTGCTTTTTTTCCCTGCGGATTTTTTCTTCATCTTGGGTGGGCATGTGTGTGTGAGTGAGAAGCTGGTAGCACAGTTCGCTGTGAAAACACGTCAATCCATTAGTTTCGGATTACATTGAAATTGCTTGAGTGGAACAAGGAAGTTGAGCAAAGAAAAACGTGTGCACGTAACACAATCATAAATAATAAATTGTTTTTGTACTGGTGCATAAAAACCTTTCCGAGAACGGTGCTCTCTTTTTACGAACGTTCACATACATTTCTACTTGTTTTCTTCCAAATTTTTCTGTTTTCCTTTGTTTATTATTTGCTTCATTTCAAGCTTGATCCCTTTTTCCGTTTGTTTTTGAGCCGATTTGTTGATAAAAAAAATTGTTTACAGTGCCATGAAAGAAAAATTAAGCAAGAAAACATGTTGCAAATAAATAGAAAAAAAGCACAATATTCCTTTGTCAATTGGCATAAAATGCTTTAATCCCTAGTAAATATCTCATTTTCACCATCCCAAACAAACAGCCACCAACTTCGTAGCTCCCCATTTTTCCCTTCCAATTTCACTTCGCTGCAATTATTGCTTTGCAAATTCAACGAGAGAAACAAGTCGAACAGAATTTTTGAAAACACAAAAAGAAGTAATTCAAGAACAAAAGAATAATTATAACAAGCAAAGTATTTGAGGCTTGAATTTTAAGCATTGAGTGTCACGGTCACATTTTTCAATTATTAACTTTTTTTTGCTGCGGTGCACCACTTCAATTTATATTTATTCGATATTTATGAGTTTATTCGTTGGAATTCATTGAAATGAATCATTAGCTAATAATTCGAGTGGCCACGATGCCGAAGCTCAAAACGCGAATAATAATGATATAGATAGATGGATAGAGATACAAACCGAATTTTTCGCGGTAGTCGTCGTCGCCGTCGTCGTCGTTGACGCGGTGTACAAAATAAAATGTGGTTACTAGTGTTGTTGTTGCTTTCTATTTGATGCCGCTGGGTGGACTATTTTTAAAATGCGACAACAACATATGACAATGCATTAACAACAGCTGTTCATTGATGATGCTTCGATCATTTGCGAACGATCAAACGCTCGATACTTAAATCCTTTGTTGATTATTATGTTTAATATTTTATTTTATTTTCATTTCTTTTATCGATATAATTAATAAATTCTGACCCGTTGCGATCGCGATTTTTTTTTTTTTCATTTGCTAATGTGTTAGGCCCACCGAAATAATAATCATAATGAATATTCTCACCGGAATAGAAATCTTGTCTATTTTTAACAGAAACAAATACAACAAGAATAACTGAAAGCGAAGAAAAAAAATTTTGTGTGAGAGATAGACGCGCGCGCGATCCACGTTCATCCACGTTTGAAGACGAAATAAAAAAGATTTCGGTTGGCAGGTACAATAGACGAAAAACGAAACAAAAAAGAAATAGAAAACGAAGCGACGAGAGGAAAAAAAGAATTAAGGAATTCCCGATGCATGAATTAAAAGCGGAAGAGAAGGAAAAAAAAAATTGAAAAATAATTCTCGCTCGCACAAACAAAACACATCGAGCAGCTTAACACTGAACAACCGTTGACAATTATTTTTGAAAATAAACTCTGTCCCGAATTCGTTGCCCCGTTCGAAGGCGACAGCAGCAGCGGCGGCGGCAGTAATTCAACCGAAAAACGAAAATGATAACAAAAATTGACTTTTGTACGATTTGAAGAACGTAAAATAAAACAACAACAACAAGCAAATGAACAACAACAACGACAACAGCAACAAATAAAACGAATTTAAAAATGTTCGTTACATTTTTCACTCGAAAATCAAAATTCGTCGTGACATCGAAGACCACACACATATAAAATCACGCGCACACAATTTTTTCCGCTTTTTTTTCTTTTTCTTTGACTTTTTCTGGAACGAAATCTTTTTCTTCTTTTTTTTCTTCTAAAATTTAAATTGATTTCAAGAAACAAAGGGAAAAAAATAATTCAACTAACAATGCAATTGAGTCGTTGATTTCGTTGATTTTTCTTTTTTCTTTTTCGTTTTGTTTTCAATTGTGTTGACTACTTTATTGCAATCCTTGGTATTGAATGAAATTTTCTTTTTTTTTCGTCAAGCAAAACGGTTGAATCAGAAATAATAATAAAAAAAAAGAGAAACGGTTGAATTTTGATTCGAGCTTTCTTCGGGATCGGCTATGGTGTGTACGTCCAAACAGTGTCACGGCGACTATACAACTGATACACGACTTGTGTTCGAAGCGAGGATTCAACCAGACTCTAAAACCGACCGAATATATTGAGTGTGCTGCTTTGCGTGTTCATGTTCTGGCTGTGTTTGTCAGTGTGTCTCGCTCGCGCTCGCTTTCACTCGCTCTCTCTCTCTCTCTCTCTCTCTCTCCCTCTCTCATTCTCGTCACACAATTGCTTATAGTGTGAACACACGGAACACAGCAGAGAGACGGTAGCATTGAACCGCCCCGAGAATGATGTATATTGAATGTATCGCGTACACACGGTTACCCGACTGATGTGTTTGGCTGGCTGTTTCGGTGGAACAACTGTTTTGTGAATACGACGTTGAAATACAACAACGGGCACTGCTATGTGTGGCACACGGCACACGGCACACTGTATATACGGTGCGTGTATCAGAAAGCACAGCACACACCGAATATCAACAGTGAGACACATTGATAAAGATAGAGAGAAAGCTTCAACAACTTTGCATAACCAAAATGAAAAAGAAAAACACATCGCTGCCAAACGAGACACGATATGCATGCGCATCGAAGCACTGCTTTCAATGTGGTAACCGAGAATACCGACCAATTTCTTGATAGAGCAAACAAAAATCAAGATCAACACATCACAAAGCCCAAACGCGCGCGCTTCGTGATACATTTACATGTTGAAAACCATGTGATTCATTCACGTCATTTGAAAACCAAACATACTTAGCAAAAGTTTATTCCGAATGCACTTATCAAACTATGATCTCTAATGGTATGAGGAGAACGGGAGTGCACGAGCTAATGACATTACACCATTCTCGAATTAAATGGCAATTCATTTGCATTTGACATAGCGACGCAGCAATTTTGTGGGTTTAAAGAGGGAGAGAGAGAGAGAGAGAGACAGAGAGAAAACAACAAAACACGACCCCGAACGAACGCAATAAGCACTTAATGAATCAAAAATGTTTCAATTGCTGTTGATATCCGTGCAGAGGTTAAGAATGGTGGAATCAACCGCCTTTGTTTGCATTCCATTTTCATTTGCATCCCAATTTCAATTAAACAATTATGCGCGCGAATCTCTCTCTCTCTCTCTCTCTCGGTTTCTCGCATCATATGCGACACAAACTCAGTGAAGTGGCATTTTTTCAGTGAGCTTCTTTTCGTTTGTGGTTCGTAAAAACAAACAAATAACTAAAATAACAACACCACCGTGTTTTTTTCTTCTCTCATCGAACGGATGATGAAAAGCGCTCAACATCATCTCCCCCAGTGCGTTTCACATCATACATATTGTCATATTCGTGTGGTACACGCTTCTAATTAAAACAACAATGCAAGAGAAAAAGAAAGGGAGAGAGGGAGGGGGAGAGAGAAAAGATAAAAAGAGCCATTATCTCATATAAAGCATAATTGAAATATATACCGCATAATATGATGAAATTATTACCTGCGGTTTTTGGGCTCATGTCGTTTCGCGAACAATCAATGTACATACTTTGTTGCTCCTTTTTTTTCATTTCGCCAATGCTACAACGGAATTTTGTATTTTATTTCATATGCGTTAGTGCACCGTTACTATCGTTTCTCAAATTGGATGATAAAGCCACCTCTCTATAGGTGTGCATTTTTGCACACTCTCTGTCCCTCTCTCTTGTTTGTTTGTTTCTCTTTGGATTTGGTGTGTGACAACCAACTTTGTGTATTAATTAAAATAAATTGTGTTTTCAATGCTGAAAAGTGATATAGTCAACATTTTCACAACGGGTCACGAGGAACTGATAAAAAATTCAAAAGCTTCGAAATAAGTATAAATTATATCTATCGACTGAGCTTGAGGCTGCCGAAAAAAAAAACCGTATCAAACTCGAAATCCACTCGAATTTCATCCAAAAAAACAACAATTGGTTTGTTTTCGATTCAAACTGCGGAGCACATAAAATGCTCATAATCGCTAGCTCACAGTTGGAATATCTCAGGCAAACCCCGAATAAACTGTGTTCGATTCAAAACAGCGACTTAATTGATCTGAATGAAATGGATTTTATGACTTAATTTAATGCCCTTTGGCATAATAATTTGATTTCGAAATCGGTAAACGAAAACAATCATTTGCAAGTAAAAAATGTGTACACAATCAACACATTTTCCTCAAAGCATTTTGAATATTCGAAATTGAATCCCGACTCGAATTGTACAAAAAGCGACATCTTTTGCCGAGCTTTGCCTGAATCCGGTTAGCTTTTTTCTGTTGCGATACGCAAAAAAGTCCCTTTCAAGAGAACCCATTTTCCGGTCGGCACAAAAGAGAGCCTTAGTGAGTGAATGTAGTGAAAAAAGCCCAAATATAGATGTCATACTTGATATAATATAGTATGTCTTGCAATGCGCATATGCATCATTTACCTTCAATTCAAGTTTTGGTTGTTGTCTTTGTTGTTGTTTTATTCGGTGTGCAGCTGTTGGAAGCACCAGATTCATACACATGGAAAATGAATACTGTCGTTTTTCTTCTATTGCCGTAGAGAGATAAGGGTTGATCTTCAATGTAGAAACCAATTTTCCAATTCACAACATGCACAGGCATACTCATGTGAATGTGTGTGTGTATGAAACGGTTCCATAGGCCAAACGTGTCCGCAATGGTAATGGAGGCATAATACATGTATACGTGCATCAAGTAAACTCAACCAAATTTCCAGCTCGACATACACTCACAACAACCAACCATTCAGCACACACACACACACATTTGGTCATATCGAACATGCTATGGATTGAGTGTATGTGTGAATGGCGCTGGCAACGGGGAGAGAATGGAGAATAGAAGAGAGTGGAAAATGTGCAGACTCGAGAAATGCGAGAAAGAAAGCACCCATCAAAGAAGGAGTGCGAGTGAAAAGGAGCGAGAGTGAATTAAACGGAAAAGAACAACAACTGCTGCTGCTGCTGCTGCTGCTGCTGCTGCTTATGCTTACTCCATTGTCAGTGCTACGATCAATTTTCAGTTTTTCATTTTGATTCGACGGAGAAGCAACGGAAATAAATTCGAGTGTTTAAAGTACGTCTTACCACATTATATATATCAAATAAATTAATTTGTGTTTGTTTGTTTGTGTGTGTGTGGTTTTGTTTTCTTTTAATCTATTGTCCACTAAACTATTTTAATTCTGTTTCGTAATTTTCGAATTTGGATTGTTTGCTTGGCTTAATCCAATATAAAGTTCGAAATTGTTGTTTGCCAGCTGAAACCCATATTTTGTTGGCGAATGTTTTGTATTGATTTTAAGCGAGAATTGTTTGGGTTTTTTCCCATCGACGGAAATGATTTAATATTGAGAGAATCAGTTGTGGTTTTCTTCTAACCCAATGAGCGTCAAAATCGAAATAAATTGAGAAAAAAGAGATAAAAGTATGAAATGAATATTTTCGGAATGTCTCATCATTGGTGTCAAGCTTGTGGCCATCTTTTTGGATTACAAATTCTCTGGTGTCATTGACTAAGCAATGAAAATCGTGCATATACAATCCCGTTTTGACCCAGAAAATCAAGCCATTTCAAGTGAAAATGTGTGCATGCAATCAGCAGCGAATGGCAAATGTTGGGAAAGAGAAAAGTATTACAAAGAAATTTCATCGACGAATGACGTTTTGATTCAAGTGCTGTGTGTTTATTCCAGCCAATTGACGGATTTGTTGAGAGTGGATTTGAGCCATTTCGAAATGGCCTTGTGTAATTGATATCGGGAAAACAAAGGGGAGGGGGTGAAGAAAATTCATTGATGAAAATGTGTGTGTCTGTCGTTGGTTCATTTATAATTTGTTTCCCGAAGAAAACGTGTCTATTTTCTCCCTTCCGTTACTTCCATATGTGGTGGTTCACGTCCAAAAAGACATTTTATGCATGTAAATATGAAAATGAATCCTTATTTATCATTTGCCTATGGCAAATTGCTATAAAGCGTCATTCATGTACACGCGCGCACACACACACACACACACACACACACACACACACAAACACCACCACCGATTTGTGTGCTGGAATGCTTGACTCGATTTGCCACCAGCAACCACAGTTTCACGGAAGAAAAAAAGTAAGAAGAAAAAATAGAAATGATGTTTCGTCAAAAATCTCGGAAATGTTTTCCATTGAATGAAATCGGTCGAGATGTTTGCCATACAGCCATTTCGAGTGTATCAACTTTTTTTCGAGCATACAGCCTTTCGTTCAATGTTTGTGAAGCAAACGCAAACGTTTGTACATGTGTGAGTTGACGTTTATACGAGAGCGCTTTCAATAATTTGTGTGTGTGTGTGTATGTATGAGTCGAAATGTATCGTGACTAAATGAAACACACACGCAACATGCTCACAAGCAAATACGTAGCGCACCACATCAGCAGCAGCACTACCACCATCCACTTGACGAAGAACAACTATTGATTTTTCCATTGAAAATTGAATTGAAGTGTGTACGAGAAATGTTTTCGATTATACGGTGATACGGTGGCAGATTGGCATTGTATTGCTTTTCACTGTGTGTTATATTTAGTGTGTATGCCTCAATGTGTTTTACTATGTCACACACTCTATTTTTCTCTGTCTCTGTCTCTCTCCACTTCACTGTGTTTCTTCGCTAACGTCCGTTTGACTGCGCTGCATCTAAGGGAGTTCGGACCAAAGTTGTGACACGAAATGTTGTCGAATTTTCCATACACATATATACACATATTGAGAGACACACAGCCAAAAGCCAAAAAACCATCAACCAAATGAATGGATTTCTAGTGAAACGCAAGAAAATGCTACAACCCGTAGCCAATATGCAAGAGAAACGACAAACAGAACAACTTTCTCAAGCAGGCAAAGAACATTTTCTTAAAGTTTAAATGACATAGGGGGCAGCGATAGCTGCGTCTACACACCACAAACTGTGACACAATTAAGATATTCACTGCAAAATGTAGTGTATTTACACTTTAAACGGAAATCCAAATGGCAATTATTTATGTTTATTATGCGTATTTCTCGCCATTAACTCGCTATGTGACGTACCCATTGCTATATCATCAGTATTCCGGACATTCGAATTCGTCTCCGAGCAAACGAGACACACAGAGAGATCACATAGACATTTTGGAGACAAACAAACGTACACATGAATTTCAATGGGAAATTGAAAAGAAAACGCAAAGAATCACACTCTCTCACTCACACTCGCACATTCCGTGGAATTGATGGTGCGTGTGCGGTATTCATTTATCGTCGGTGCTGCTATTGTTGTTGTCATCGTCGTCGTCGTTGTCGTTGTCGTTGTCGTTGTCGTTGTCGTTGTCGTTGTCGT